TGAAAACTTTTAACATATCAAGGAATGTGACAATTCCAATCAGACTGCAGTCATCTTCAATAACCCAAACGTAGTTCACCCTGTGTGCGATTGCCTGGATCATAACAGCTATCAAGGAGCTTCTTGGATGACAAACTATGGCTTCGGCGTGACGAGTGATCCGTGCTGAGTAGCTCGATGATCTCCTACACTTCCTCGAGCTTGGAGATGGCGAGAACTCCTCATCAGATGAAGAAGTGAAAGATAAAGACCCAGTTGAGGATGGTGAATTAGTGAATTCCTCGAGCCTTCCTTCTAAATTACTCTCTTTCAGCCTAGCCTTCACCACTTTAACAAGGTCCTCCGGAGGCCCCCCACGGTCAATGTAAGTCATCAGGTCCCCGGACGACAAGGTCATAATTGCAGCTGCAACGGCCTTGTCGCAACCGGCAAGGGCGAAGGGCGAGATCTCACCAATCAGAATTCCCTCGTCATCGACAACTGCAACAGAGGTTTGGTTGGCGATGCAGCAGGAAATGGCTCCAATGGCAGAGGATGCAGGGGAGTAGTAGTTTACTGATAAAGCATTGGTGCAGATGACGCCAAGGCTGTCAAGGGAGAGGGCAGCAATGGGGGAAAAAAGGCCAATTGAGTTGAGAAGATATCTGATTATATCTTCCTGAGTCAGCCAGCAGAATTCGCGGCCGCCATGGATGATATTTTTGGGGGTTTTGTGATGTTTTCTTCTTGAATTGCTTCCTAGCCTAGTCTTGATTGGAACAACTAGATTTTGAGCACCTTGGAGAACCAGATCAATGGCCTCTAACAGGCTGGAACATGAACATAGAGACTTCAATTAACTTCATCTTTAAGAACTTTATGCAGAACTCTATTATTCTCTGTCTGAATTCAGAATCATCGTAAAAGACAGCAAAGAAAAAGAAAGCTATTTGGGAAAGGCAATTTTCTGATGAAGAGCAAACAAAACAACAAACAATCCAAAACAGTTCGAAAAAAAGTTGTGCAGCGCCCAGCTCAGATCAGTAACTAACAAAACTTCAGACATCCAATTAAAGAATATCAATATCTAACTCATACATCGTTAACAGTTTTCTAAAAGGCCAATCAATTAAAGAAACTCCTTGAAACAATCCCTAAAAAACAAAATGGAGATCCAAAATTCATCAAATTCATTTTCATACCTAGCAGACGGCTCCAAATGCATCACGATTCCAGGAATTTGAGGCAAAATCTCAGAGACAGAGGCTTGCAATGCAGCCGCAGGGGACAACAAATTCTCGTCCCTACAGAGATAGAAAATTACATCCACCATACACAGCTTCCCGACACATCGGCAGCACTCAAACTCGCCGTCTCCAGCACCACCGCCGCCGCAACCGCTCGTCGCGAAACGGCAATCCCAGACGCTTATGAAGTAATCGTTAGAGAATTGCAGAGCGAGCAAGGCGTCGGCGATGGTTGCGGACAAGGACAGTGGCCTCAGCGCTGGTTTACCGAGACAGAGGTCAGAAACGTCATGCGAAAACAAGCTCACTGCCATACAAAAGCTAAGAGGGAAGAGTATGAAAACTCCTACGGAAAAAAAATGTATGTCGGAGAAAGGCGGAAGGGTGGAGGTCGGCGGTGGCCAGCAACGGTGGAAGATCGGAGAAACGGGGGAAGAAGATGAAGATGGAGAAGTAGAGAATTGAAGAAATGGAACATTTATAATGAGAGAGTTGAAGGAAACTGAAAAAGGGTATTATGAAATGTACGGTATCAACTGGGGCCCACACCCTTTTCTTTTTTAATTTTTGTTTTTGTAATTATTAATGATAAAAATTATAATTAATTATAAATAAGTTTTAAATGTTTTAACATTTAAATTAATTTATAATATTTATGCGTTCATTTAAATTAATAATTGTTTTAAAAAATACCAATTAATATATATATATATATACACATTATTTATTGAATCATTCAATTTATAGATATATTAATATATTGATGTAAAGGGAATGAAAATAAATTTGAGAGTTATTTATTTATTTATTTTTAGGCAAAAATGATTTAGGAATATTTTTATTAGAATTATTAAATTATAACTATGAAAGAAAAAAATTGTAGAAAGACATTAATTAATTTATTATTTCATTTTTGATTTTAACATAAATAGAAGAATAATTGTTTTATTTTATTTCAAATTTTCTTATTTAAGAGGCTTCTTTTGTACGTTAGCTTTTTAAAGAGAGATGTTCATTTAATTCACGGGGTCGAGATTTGCCTCGGGGCAAAGATTTTCGGTTTAGACAGATAATGTAAGAGAAAGTGGAGAGATATTTCTCTCAATCAGATAAATGGGGTTGGAGCTCGGAATTATATTCTCCGTCTCTATCCCTCCTTCGAAGAGAAACGTTTTAAGTTTCATTTCCAAGTTTCATATATTTCTAAAAACGAAGAAAGCTTTTTATATTTATATTTATATTAAAAAATAAATATAAATTAAATAATATAAATTCATATATATAACAAATTAGATATTAAAATTATTCGAAATTAAAAATGATAATAATTTGTATAATTTGAATATCGTAATAATTATAATTTGAGTAATTTTCAATTCACAAGAGCAAGAGCTAACAAATGATTATGATTGTGATAGGTTATCAATAAATTTGAGTTAGATAATTTTATCTAATGTATTGATTATTTGCCTGCCGCTCGAACTCCGGGTTTCAAGTTCATTATTCGCTGACTCACCACTCGGTGTATAACAGTCCAAGCTCACCGTTAGCAGATATTATCTGCTTTGGTTCGTTATATATTACCATAGCCTCGCTGTTTTAAAACGCGTCTATTAGAAGGAAGTTTCTACACCTTTATAAGAAATGCTTCGTTCTCCACATTCCCTATCACAATCTGATTTATTCGAGCGTAGTTGAACAACTAAATTTTCATAACGATTTGTGAATTTAAAAATGAAAAAAATCTAATCAAACAATCATGATCGTTAGTTCTTTAACTTGATAATCGTCGTGAAATGGAAAAGAAAATGCAATGATATTGAAGCAATTGTTATGCACATTACTTATCAACACCATTATAAGTTATAATAAGGTGTCTGTCACACTTTAATGTGTTAAAAAAAATGGTATATAGTTTGACAGATTTGTTGATGTGCTAAAAAGAAAGGGAATATTCTCACTTGATTCTAGTCAATTATTGATGCATGTGCATGTGTCACACAAATTAGTTCTCCAAATAAATCAATATAAGCAAATTAATTACATTACTAACCCTTTTTTTTTATCCGGGTAGGAGTATAAAACATCTCGAGTCTTTTCACTCTTAGTTTGTTTCTTTCTTTTTGTTATGACCTAAACTTAGTCGTGTTAATAGATTGGTAAATCCTCAAATGTCGAACAAAGGACTCCAAAAGAAAAAAGAGTCGAGCCTCCTCGAAGGCATAGTAAAAAATGACTAAGACTCCAAAAGAAAAAGGAGTCGAGCCTCGATTAAAGGGAGGCGTACTTTGTTCGAGGGGAGGTGTTGGATGATGAAAGTCTCGCATCGACTAATTTAGGGATGATCATGAGTTTATAATCAAAGAATACTCTCTCCATTAGTAGAGAAGCCCAAAGCAAAGCTATGAGAGCTTATGCTCAAAGTGGACAATATCATAACATTGTTTCTTTTCTTCCATGGAAGAGTTCAGATCAATCCAATTCATTCGGGTTGATCCTCGACTTTCGAAATTGGCCAAACAAAAAAAGTTAACCGAGAGAAAACATAATATTTAATTTTTGACCCAACACAACCCTTTGTTTTTGGGTTAGTTTTGGGTTGGGTTGTCAACTTTTTTTTAAAGTTTTATTAATTCACATTTTATAATTATTCGATTCCATCTTAGATAAAATATATTAAAAGTTAGATGGTATAAAATATATTAAAAGTTCACAAATAAAGGAGCTATAGTTATATAAAAAAAGAAACAAATTCAGTAAAAAAAATCTAACGTATTAACATAATTCAACATTGTTATGAAACGAGAGACAACTAAATAAATATGATTAATTTAAAGAGGTTGTATATAACACAAATAAAAAATATATAAAAATATATAAAAATATTTTAATTGAAATATGCAAGTGAGAGACATTCCATGTAAAGATATTGTATATAATAAAAATAAAAAAAATATATAAAAATATTTTAATTAAAATATGCACTTATACGCAAGAGTCCTTAGACTATTAGAAAAAATAAATATATTTATATATATAATTTATGAACATTAACGCTAAAAATATTTTAATTAAAATATGCGTTTATACGTAAAAGAGTCGTAAACTATTAAAAAAATAATAATAAATTATATATATAGTTTAAAAAAATAATAAATATATATATATATATATATATATATATATATATATATATATATATATAATTTATGAACATTAACCCTGTTAGCCTTTGTTTCAAAAAGGCAGATAATAGACTAGTCGAATCCAGGCCGTCTCAAAAAGGTAGGTAATAGACGAGTCGAATCCAGGCGTAGGTCTCATTAGACCAGCCAGAGTACCACTCTAACAAACTCATTAATATTGAAAAATTCTTAATATACTTCATATATTTATTTGAATCGAGTCGTTGGAGTCAACCCAAGGATTTTGTCTCACGAACCCAAAACCAAACCGATTCAATTCGAATTTAGAAAAATGAACCCAACCCTACCTAAAATGCTAATCCAATCCTACCCAACCTAATCTGACACTTATAGTTTGGGTTGGATTGGTCGGAGCTGTGGACCAAACAAAATTTTCTCTTTTTTCTTTATTAAATATTTTAATTTTTTTTTTTTATCTACAGAGCATCTGAGAAAAAAGATAGCTACTCGATCGTTGTTTTTTATTGTAGTTTAGAAAGGGAGATAAGGTCTCATTGAAAAACGTGAACCTTATCCCATCCCATCACACACTAAAATCCACGCCCACAGTAATTACAAAACATTGGCTTTCCATCTTAAGCCTTTTGTGTGTCTTTTGGTTTCTATATAAGGCACATTCTTGTTGAACTTCTCTCCTTCTCTGATCGGTTTGGATGAACCCGGGAGTTCCATATTCTTGAAGATGTTGGCCATTTTTCACAAGACTTTCGCACACCCACCTGAGGAACTTAACAGCCCTGCCTCTTTCAGTGGCTCTAAGACTCCTAAGCTTCCTGAAGAAACACTCAAGGACTTTCTAGCTCGTCACCCTCACAATACGTTCTCTGTCAACTTCGGTCAGGCGGCTGTTCTTGCTTATGTTCCTCCTGATGGACGACCTTTTTCTCCCCATCAGAGGTAAGGATTCTGACCAGTTAAGCAGCTTAAGCTTGTTTTATTTGGTTTTGAGAGGTGAATTTGCAGGCTGTTATGTGGGTTTGATGAGATATACTCTGTTCTTGGAGGGTTTGTTAAGAATGACAAAGGATTGAAAGTCCTATTGTCGATTTTTGTTTCATTAATGTTCATAACTTTTAAATAGGATACAAGCTACCAAACTAACCAATCAACTTCAATTCCTAAGTTTGTTCTTATTATTTGATTTTGAGAGGGTGAATTTGCAGGCTGTTCTGTGGGTTTGATGAGATATACTGTCTGTTCTTGGGGAGTTTGAACAATCTATGTGCACTCAACAAGCAATATGGTCTATCAAAAGGCTCGAACGAGGCCATGTTTTTGATCGAGGCCTATAGGACACTAAGGGACAGAGGCCCTTACCCAGCTGATCAGGTCCTTAAGGAGCTTGATGGCAGCTTTGCTTTTGTTGTTTATGATAGCAGGGTTGGTGCTGTTTTTGCTGCCTTGGTACTACTCTCTCTATTTCTCTTTCTATCTTATATCTTCCTTGTAAAATAGTCAATTTGGCATCACGTTGGCAAAATATTAGAAGAGCAATGTGATGTCCGTTGATTGGTGAGGAGAACAAACCACTATTTATAAGGGTGTGAAAATCTTCCCTTAGAAGACGCGTTTTAAAGCTTTGAGGAGAAGCCCGAAAGGGAAAGCCCAAAGAGGACAATGTTGTTAGCGGTGGATCTAGGCCGTTACAAATGGTATCAGAGCCAGATACCGGATGATGTGTCAGCCTTCTCGCTGTTCCCGAAGGGGTAGACACGAGTTGGTGTACCAATAAGGACGCTGGACCCCAAAATGGTAGATTTGGGGGCTGTCCCACATCGATTGGAGGAAGGAAAGAGTACCAGCGAGGACGCTGGGCCCCGAATGAGGTGGATTGTAATGTCCCACATTAGTTGGGGAGGAGAACGAACCACCATTTATAAGGGTGTGAAAACCTTCTCCTAGTAGACGCGTTTTAAAACCTTGAGAGGAAACTCAAAGAGGACAATATCTACTAGCGGTGGATCTCGATGGATCTGGGCTGTTACAAGCAACACCTAAAAAGTTATATGAATAACCGTATAATTAGTGGCCTTGGTGTTTCTTGGTTGCTATTTTCCTTCAATTTCTTAGTTTTTCTCAACCACTTTCACACAATTATATGGTTCATCTTCATGGCTGACACTTAACCAAACCAGGGTGCCGATGGAGGAGTGAAGCTCTATTGGGGAATCACAGCAGATGGGTCAGTAGTGATATCAGATGATGTGGATGTCATTAAAGAAGGCTGTGCTAAATCATATGCACCCTTCCCAACTGGTAATGCATGATTCACAAACAGGGTAAGAGAAAATTTGCACTTAACCTACACGGGTTCCAATTGGTTGATTCAGGGAGAAAGATAGTATCCTCTCCTTTCTTGAATCAACAAATTGCCCACTGTGTATGTCAGATGCGATTTTCCTTGTCCAATTTGTGCATCAACACACTCGTTTAACAACAATGTTCTTGATTAATCAATGGAAGTTTGGAAAGATTGTGTAAATTGAGAAAGAAATTTGAATGAATTGAGCAGGATGCATGTTCCACAGTGAAGGAGGGCTAATGAGTTTTGAGCATCCAATGAACAAGATGAAGGCAATGCCGAGAATCGACAGTGAAGGTGCCATGTGTGGAGCTAATTTCAAGGTTGATGTGTACACAAGGGTTAACAGCATTCCAAGGCGTGGCAGTGAAGCTAATTGGGCTGAATGGGGCACAGACTAGGCATTACATCTCTGTCTGTGCCTGCTATTCCAACAATTGCTGTTCTAAGTTCCAATGGCTTGTAATTTTAGACTGTAAAATTTCTTACCTACACAAAGTAAGCTTCTTCCTATGTAAATAAACAAATAATTTCGTTACTTCTCGAGGATAGTTTCAGGTAAACTCATTCCATCAAACACTTAGCGGGCACTAAGCATTTATATTCCTTGCAATCGAATCTATAAACAAACAAGTTCATTACTTCTCGAGGATAGTTTCAGGTAAAATCATTTCATCAAACACTTAGCGGGTACAACAACATTTATATTCCTTGCAATCGAATCTATAAACAAATAAGTTCATTATTTTTAGATAAAATCATTTCATCAAACACTTAGCGGGCATTACAACATATATATTCATTGCAATCGAATCTAAAGTAAAACCAGCGCAATTCAGTACTCTCTTCTGATGATTAAGGCAAAAATCATCCAAATCATAATTCCAAAACGCTCATAAGCTTGAAAGATCAAAATAATATATGAGGGAATGGACTTCGAAAGTTTCTGACCTTGGAATTTAGGCGGAATGAGTTTGATTCCACTTTGTTCTTCGCAAACTGAGAAATATGATGCTACCTCGATCAAAATGCCGATATCTAACCATTCATAAATATTAATCATTAATTAAATTACGGAAATTCAATGAGATATTATCGAACATAGATATGAAACAGCTCAAATAGCATCAGGAAGAAATGGCCAACAATTTACATCTAGATATTTTATAACATATATATATCTGTGATTTACCAAATGAAAGTACAAAGGGCTGTTGAGAGAGACATGAGATAGAGTGTGCTTTGGCTTTTGTTTTAGTAGGTGATTCACTATCAAAGCGTTCTAGAAATAGGTCTCAAACTACGAGCCATCTATCCCATGACATACTTAACTTGTTCGCGCGGTTTGTCGGTTTCACCCAGGCTAAACTACTGAACCTCTCCAACTTGGATTTCACTACTCATTTGAAACTTTGCAAATTTTATTAAGGACTAAACTCGAGTCAACCAACTACTTTTACAACAGAAATTTTGTTTACACAGCACATCATCAAAGTTACAAACTCCCGCAACTCACAATGAGCTTCAGTTTTAGCAACGAAAGGCCATCACAGGGACATCAGGCTTCAGATTTTAAGCCAAACCAACAAGTTTCTCACTCAGTTCCCATACTCTGCGAGCTTTCTCTGCATCACTTGCCTCCTGAGACAGCTGGTTCTCAAATGAAGCCGAGTTTTTGTTCCAGCTCCAATACACACCTGATTTTGTCAAGCTCGGCTCGCTCACAACCTGCATTACAAGCAAGTAATCAGATTCATCTTGAATGAATATTTTGTTAGGAACTACGAACCTCCACAATGGTATGATACTGTCCACTTTAAATATAAGCTCTCGTGGCTTTACTTTTAGTTTTCCCAAAAGGCCTCGTACAAATGGAGATGTATTCCTTACTTATTCCCTTAATTGGCCAACGTGGGACTCCCTCCCAACAATCCTCCCCTCGAACAAATTACACCATAGAACCTCCCCTAAGGCCTATGGAGCCCTCAAACAACCTCCCTTTAATCGAGACTCGACTCCTTTTCTCTGGAGTCCTCGAACAAAGTACACCCTTTGTTTGACATTTGAGTCACTTTTGACTACATCTTCAAGGCTCACAACTTCTTTGTTTGACATTTGAAGGGCATGACTCTAATACCATGTTAGGAATTCTGAACCTCCACAATAGTATGATATTGTCCACTTTGAGCATAAGCTCTCTATCGCTTTACTTTTGGTTTCGCCAAAAGACCTCATACTAATGGAAATGTATTCCTTACTTATAAACTCATCATCAACCCCTTAATTAGCCGAGGTGGGACTCATCTCCCAACAATCCTCAACATACTTGACGTTGTTTTCGTTGCCTATGGGGAAGTTTTTAAGTTACCTGAGCCAGTCGTTTTCCTGATTCTTCTTCTGAAACATAGCCCTTGGTGATGAACTTTTGGAATACAGGGAAAAGTATTCTGAACAAGGGAATGTGCTCTCTGAACAGACCAGTTGTAGCAATGCATCCTGGGTAGAGGGAAGCAAATGTGATGCCAGTTTCCTCATGGTACCGCCTGTGGAACTCTTGCATAGTGAGCATGTTACACACTTTGCTGTCCTTGTATGCCTTGGCACCATCAAACTCACCGCCATCGATCATCGACGAGCTATTTAGCCCGCTTAGTCCTCCAGCAAGTCCCCTGAGGTCTCCAAGGTTAGCCTTAGGAGGAACATTCCCAGCCAAGGTATTAGTATTCCCTGATCAAAAAAGCAAAATTCAGCAAACCCACAAGGCAATTACGAGGCTGAGAGCAACATGAACAATAGAATGTACCGGTTATTGATCCAACAATGATGAGTCTTTTTGAGGGGTAATCAGATTTGTTCAAATCCTCCAACAACAACCGGGAGAGGAGGAAGTGACCAAGATGGTTAGTTCCAACACTAAGTTCAAAACCTTCAGCAGTGAAGGTAGGCTCTTTAGCAGTGGGGAGGTAAACAGCAGCATTGCACACCAGCACATCAAGTGGCCGGCCCGACTGCCTGAAGTTATCGACAAACTGCCGGACACTATCGAGCGAGGCAAGGTCCAAATGCATAACAGTGTAGTTTTCCTTGCTAATGCCAGCAGATTTGGCAGCTCTTTCAGCCTTGAGAAAGTCCCTGCAAGCCATAATAACATGCCATTTTCCAGTTTCAGCCAGAGCCTTAGCTGTGGCTAAACCCAACCCAGAAGAGGCTCCAGTGATCACAACACTGCCCTTTCTAAGAGTTTTCTTCCCATCTGGAGCAGCTTTGTTAACTTCTGGAGCTATGGTAGCAGTTGTCTGAGCCCTGATTGCACCAATCTGCTGGTTTAATTCTCTCTGGCATTTTGTCAAACAGTTAACATTCACCACAAATTTAGCAGGAATTAAAGCTAAACCAAAGCAAACCATCTCAACAACATGCAATTCTCACAGCATTTCCAACGGAAGAACATGAAAGAAAACAAAATTAGAAACACCCACTACCTTACACCTCAATGTAGATGAACTGAATTCAGATTTGAGATGATCCGATAATGAAATCCCAAACAAACTAGAATCCTTCAAGCATACACTACATTTACCCTGCAAGAAAACCCACATGCATGTCAAACCAAAATGAACCCAACCCAGATTCAAGAAAAAAGAGACGAACCTCTTTGGGAACAGAGAGAGCAGGGGAAACCAAAGAAGCAGCTTGGAGCGCCATTAGAACAAAAACCAACCAGGGAGCTCAAACCTGATGCTTGGAAAGCTGAATTACAGTAAGCATTGGAAAGATAATATCTAGAGAGTGTATATATATAGGGAGAAAGATCAGAAGGCGTTAAGCCATTGCTTACAAAAAAGAATCACGGTTTCAAGATATCAAAAAACAGAGGATAAGATAATTGGTCAAGTGTGGGCTTCTTCCCTATCAATTTGTGGCAACCAATCAGAATTCGAGAAGTGGATTTCCTAAGATATTTTTTTAAAAGAAGAAATAAAGGAATTGGATATCATTTTATGGGTTATCATGTGAGTCTCACTCGCTCGTAGGGAGGAGGACAAACCACCATCGAAATCTTTTACGCTTTAAGGCTTTGAGGGGAAACCCGAAAGGAAAAGTCCAAAGAAGACAATATTTACTAGCGATGGATCTGGGCCGTTACAAATGGTATCAAAACCAGACACCGGACGATGTGCCAGCCTTCTCGGTGTTTCCTGAAGGGGTAGACACGAGGTGGTGCGCCAGTAAGGACGCTGGCCCCAAAGAGGGGTGGATTTTAGGGTGGCTCCACATCGATTGGAGGAAGGAAAGAGTGCCAGCGAGGACGCTGGCCCCAAAGGGGGTGAATTGTGATGTCCCAAATTGGTTTGAGAGGAGAACAAACCTAAAGCCTTGAGGGGAAGCCCGGAAAAGCCCAGAAAGAACAATATCTACTGACAGTGGATCTAGGTCATTACATCTTCCCATTTACAAGCATGAATTTTGTTCTTTACTTAAATATTATAATTAGAGTCTACTCCAATATTATATTGAAAATATATTTACATTAACTAGGGCAAAGATCGAGAATATGATCCCGTCCCTAACCCCATTTATCTAACGGAAAAAAAATATTCCCCACTCCCGCTTCCATTCACTACCTCAATAGAAAATTCATTCCTAGTTCAAGATGGGTCCTTACAGACCCCTATTCCGACCCCACGAGTAAAATGAACATCTTTAGTTCAAACTAAATTTTATCGAGCATATAAAATAACCATTTCAGACAACATTTCATTTCAACCTTTAAAAAAAAAAAAAAAAAAAAAAAAAAAAAACTTTTTTCCTCTCTTTTCAATTCACTAAGTGCTCAAAACTCTACAATTCCCGTTTACAGAACTTACATCAATCACCTGTTGCTAAACCCATAAGTGTAAATTTTGTATCAGTTTTTCCCTTCACAAATCTGTACTTTTTTCCCACCGGACATGCTCGTCGGTGTCGGTGTCGGTGTCGCCGACCAGCACAAGCATAGGGTAACAAGGAACTTGATTCTGCTATAACATTACAAATCTCACCCAACATCTCTGTTTCTGTACATATATATTCCAATCAGTGGGGAGGAAATGAATCTATGGCAATGGTAATGGAGTTAGGGGCTGGTTTTTAAGAGGCTTCCATTTGCATTTCACCTCTTTAAATCTTAACTGCTAATCCAAAATTTTGGAACGTTCTGATTTCGCCTCGAAGACCTGCAGTTACGATCACCATACCCCATCCCGGCGAGCCTTCAAACATTCCATGGCCAATGTCCAAACTGGAATGAGGACTACGGTTAATCTGAGTGTTCGGAACGAGCTTTTCCTCCGGCCGAGTTGCTGCGATTCTGTCGAAGAAGTAGCTGTTGGTTGCACTTGAAAGAGTTCCATGAAGAGGGCTGTTTGTGCAACCAGAAGCTAATAGTGAATCCTCACTGCCATTTTCTACCTCCACAGGTGAAGGGGGATGGTTAGCCGACGAGACTTCGTCGAGATGATTTTCAATCACATTGTCGTAATCTCCGTAAAAATCGTCATCAAGTCCCCATATGTCGCCCGTTCCAGGCCAAGGAATAGCCACAGAGACATCCTGACAGTGGAAATGCTCGTATGATCGAACCACTGTCACTCCTTTGCTCCTACTAGGTCGAGAATCAGCTTCGTGCTTCCATATGTACACATGAGAATCCTCACTGGCTGATATCACATACCTGCCGTTCGCCGAAAGGCAGGCCGAGATTTGGCTGTTTGTATTTCGGAACCCTGTTACCAACTTAACACTCTTAAATAGTAATCCAAGCGTGGGAGATAAGAAAATTTAAGCAGCAGAGAAACTCGACTTCGAACGTAATCAAGTCCCTACTATGTTTAAAAAATACATATTAAAGCGCCTCGTGCACAATCCAATATGACTAGCTCATCAATATAAGCCACGGACTTTATAGGAAGTCTAAAAGATAAACTTGAAGTCAACCATACCTTTAAATCTCTGGACCAAATCAACTCCATCGACCAATCGGATGCGCGAATCTGCAGACGTAATGAGCACTTCTGTCGAACTTCCTGGAGCAAACTGTGAATTGGAAATGATCAGAAGTTCAGGAATCCACGTGCTTTGGTTGAGTCTAGAGGTAGCAACAATGCGTTTCGATTCGGCAAAATAGAAGCAAAAAATGTAACCGCCTAAGCCCACCGCTAGCAGATATTGTCCTCTTTGGGGTTTCCCTTCTGGGCTTCCCTCTCAAGGTTTTATAACACGTCCACTAGGGAGAGGTTTCCACAACCTTATAAGAAATGCTTCGTTTCCCTCTCCAACAGATGTGGGATCTCACAATCCACCCCCCCGGGGCCCAACATCCTCTAGTGTATGGCTCTGATACCATTTGTACCAGCCCAAGCCTACCGCTAGCAGATATTGTCCTTTTTATAGGCTTCTCCTCAATGTTTTAAAATACATCCACTGGGGAGAGGTTTCCACACCCTTAAAAGAAATGCTTTGTTTCCCTCTCCAACAGACATGGGATCTCACAATCCACCCCCTTTGGGAACCAGCATCCTCGTTGGCACATCGCCTCGTGTGGCTTTGATACCATTTGTACTAGCCCAAGCCCACCGCTAGTAGATATGTCTTTTTTGGGGTTTCCCTTCTGGGCTTCCCCTCAAGGTTTTAAAACCCGTCCACTAGGGAGAGGTTTTCACACCCTAATAAGAAATGCTTTGTTTCCCTCTCCTAATAGATGTGGGATCTCACAATCCACCCCCTTGGGAGCCCAGCGTCTTCACTAGCACACCACCCGGTGTCTGGCTCTGATACCATTTTAAAACCTTGAGGGGAAGCTCGAAAGAAAAAGTCCAAAGAGGACAATATCGGCTAGAGCGGTTACAAAAAATCACTGAAATAAACCCATCAAATTACCTGGAATCCAGTTATTTTCTTGTGGCTAGATTTTCTCTTCTTGTTCTGCAGATTTATCTCATTTTTTTGCTGCATCTTGTTCTCTGGTAAAAAAAAAAATGAAGAACTCAGTCAGTCACATAGCATTCACACACAGGTACTGTTGAGCAAGATGAATGGTTCTACAGAGAGTATAATATACCATAAGTACTGTACAATCGGCAGCTTCCCTTGTAAGAACCAACCAATGCACCCTTTAACAGTGAGGAAAAACAACATTTTGAGCAATAAATAGGACTAAAGATTCATATAGCAACAAGCCAAAGTTATGAACTATTCAACCTTGCCATCAGGTGTATAGCAAGCAGCGGTCACCATCTCATGCAAGTCGCTCCAATCAACGACTTGACGATCTGGGATACTCCATATACGAACTTTAGCATCTAATGATCCACTAATGAAGTATCGATCGTCGATAGGATTGAACTGGATGCAAGTTACTGCAGCAGGGTACATGTCAGAAACAAACTTGCTATTAGCTGTAAGACAGTTCAAGGATCAAATTATTCGGGGTTTTGTTTGCTATGTTATCGTCTTAGACTAACGAGTATCACCATTTTTGAGCAAATTTGACACAGTTTTACCAGAGAAAGCTAGAAAAAGGAAGTGAACTTACCATAATCACTGTGAGAAAAGATTTTGAGACAGGAATTGCTTGACAAGTGCCAGAGCCGTACAGTTTTGTCCATTGAAGATGAGAGCAAATGCTGGTAAAATAAAAGCAAAGAGTAAACTTTCAGTAAATAAAAAGTAATATCACACAACATCCTAATTTCCATACAATTAGGCGACGCCACGAGTAGGGAATGCTATCGTTATCACAGCCATTTTCGTCGTCCCGTCCTGTTACATCCTAGATCTACTTTCCTAGAATTTCAGGCATCCCATGGCACGTTATGATTCAGTAATCTCTGGTTCCATTAGTATCTGCCCTTACTGATGGCTCGAGATGAAAACAAAATGGGATCTGGAGCAGTGACAACAATTAAGGGATTTGAGCTAAGAAAATGGTTCAAAACTACAAGGAGTGGCGTAGCATGCGCCCTCCAAAAGATGCCTCGCTTCCTGTTCATTGCGCCCCATGATGCGCCTACACGTGCATTTCAAAGCTCTGCAGTGGAAGATGCAGCCTCTAACTATCTACGGTTATGATACTTGGGAATAAAACAATCTCATCCAAAGTAAACCGAAATAGGCATCGGAATAAAAACTAGCTATTGCACACATTATGACAAACTATAACTTTGAGTTTCAAAATAGACGTTCATGGATTTTCAACACGCTTAAAGAGAATGGCGATGGGAAGATGTTTCCATGGCTCTAATCATCAATGAGAAAGTATGTCCTAGCAAAAGTTCCAACATTGATCATCAAATGAAGGAAAAGTTCAAGAAATGAGAGTAATTGTGAGATCTCACATTGGTTGGAGAGGAGAACGAAGCATTTCTTATAAGGGTGTAGAAACTTCTACCTAGTAGACACATTTTAAAAACTATGAGGCTGACGGCGATACGTAACGGGCCAGAGCGGATAATATCTGTTGGCAATGGGCTTGGGCTGTTACAGCAATACGAACATATCTTTTCTTCATATATAGGTCCTCCCATATTCAGTCCAACTTAGAGAGAAGCAACATACAAAGCATTATCATCAAGCTATTGATCCTCACCCACTTAAATAAGGTATTAGCCAAAAGAAGAAGCAACATACGAGTTCATTTCGAGTTCACGAAAACATAAAGATATTAAAAATCTTAGTAGAACAGCTCGTTTTTTGTTCGAAGCGATAGTAATCAATCCCATACGTATCTAAAAACGCCATGGAGGAGACATTCATGGCCTGACCAAAATGCATCCTTTCCAAACTTGCTCAAGTAATTTTGTACCATAAAGATCTGTATCTTTCAAAATCTCCAAAGCCATTTATATATAAAGGTCACATTCTTACATCTAAGGCTTCCTATACCGAAGGCCGTTGACCATCTTTCAGTTCATAAGAAACACTCCCGAACACCACATACGACCAAATGGCCTTTTCTAAAGTTAGACATTAAGAATCTATCAGAACAAAACATGTCGTCATCTGTAATAGTCCAAGCCCATTGCTAACAAATATTGTCCTCTCTGAACTTTCCCTTGTAGGCTTCCCCTCAAGGTTTTAAAGCGTGTCTACTAGGGAGAGGTTTCCACACCCTTGTAAGAAATGCTTCGTTCCTCTCTCCAACCGATGTGGGATCTCACGTTTTTCCTCCCCCTTTTAAACTAACACACACATCACTCATCCAAATCATCAAGTTGATTCTATGAGCCTCATCGGGATATACTTTCTTGAAGTTGTTTTCTCTCGTTACGTGTAGTCTATTTTCATGGTGGGCTTGCCTTGTTAGAACACTGTTTCGTTGTGATATACTTATAGTAATTTGACCAGTTATTCAAAACAGTCCACGGAAACAAATTCGAAACAATAGTGAAAAACATGTCGTTTATAATCGCTCTCAAACAGTCCAAACGCTTTCTCTTCCAAGAAAGTTAGAAGAAATAGGTATAAAGTGTGTCGAACTTCTATCTGATAAAATATCGGCCCGTTTTAAACACAAAAAAAAGTTGAAACACGAAACAACATTAGCTACCATCATAAATCAAGCAACGTAGTTTCAAATGGAACAATCTTCACCACGTTCGGCATTTTCGAAAGCTCAAGGACTAAACTTGTGACTTAACCCGTAATAGATTATACAAATGTAAAACTAAGTTGAATTCCTTCTCTAATCAACATAGAGTTTAAGCCTTAAATATAAGGTAATATCCACAAGAATTAGTATGTCAAAAAAACATCGAAAATACGAAACATGAATAGGTATTCAAATAGAAACTAACCTGAGATTTGGACCAAGATAGGTCGAGCACGACATCGAGATGCCCCTGGAATGAACAGAAAGGTTTTTCTGAAAGCCCAAATACAGTGTCCGGCACTATAATTTGTTCCAAGCTCACTGATTTCCGGCTAATGGAAGATCTCCCTCTTCTCTTTTTCTCATGATAGCTATCCACATTTGGAGATAATGAAGTTGGCTCGGGCGACTCGTTAGCTGCAAATAAGAAACTCAAATTCCCTTCTTCTGGTTTCTCCATCAGTAGTTCGCCCTTTTTCTCCGACTCAATGACCTGCCAAACGTGAATGATACGGTCCTCTCCTGCGCTTGCAAGGTACTTCCCATCCAAACTAAACTTAATGGTCCATATTGAGCCAGTGTGAGCCTGTATCTCTTGGCTCTTGTAGAGTGCAGACAATTCTTTACTTGATTTTCCGTACTGCCTAACTCTTACTCTCTCTGGACCATGAAAGGAAACATCCTGGCTATCATCTGTTGCAGAGCTCGACCTCCGTCCACCCTTCTCAGACGATGTATCCCTCTCGTCACTGCTACGTCTCTCCTTTTGACCCTTCACCGTGCCAGTGACACTCTTTATACCCTTAAACCAGCCTCCTTTCTTTTTCAACTTCGAACTACTACCGATATCCCCATTCACGTTTAAATCAACGTTTTCGTTACAACCATCCTCCACAATCTGCCTTCGCATCAGTTCTTGAACAATAGGTGAATGGCCAACACATTTATCAAACTCCTCCATGGTCAACTGTTTCCCAGTGCCCACTTCCTTCAGCTTGTTCCACATTCCATCTTCAGTAATCTCATTCAGAACAAACTCCTTCCCATTGTCAAGATCTTTGATAGTACAGACTTTCTCATTGACCTCTTCACTAGTAGAACAATGCGAATCCTCGCTAACCTGTCGTTGATTCACGCCGTTCTGGGACATCGACGATGGATCAGGATCGGAATTGGTACTCACAATTAAGGAATCACTTCGAATCTCATCCACCCATCTACTGTTTTTCCCAGATGGCGGCTTATGCTGTGAAGCAGCTAAAGCAACCAATGGAACTCCCTCGCTCTTACAGCTTTGGGACTTAACGACTACAGGATTATAGCTATTTGCAAATGAAGTGATGGTTTCATTGACAGAATGAAATGAAAAAATTGAAGGAGAATTAATGGACGACGAATAATTACACTGGTCATTAGTATCGCTGCCGGAAGCCGATTTCGAGCGGATGATTGCAGTGGGCTGCTGTTGTTGACTACTCAAAGAATCCGACGACACCGATCGACCAAAATCTCCAACACCCATTTCACTATGATCCAATTCCAAGGTCGTATTAGCTCGTGAGAGAGAAGGGTCACCGCTAAGACCCATTTCTTGAAGAAGACGGCGCCGGCGCTCCAACACAGAGGCGGGCTCGGAGATCCAAATATCATAGTCGGAAGCCGCCATAGGGAATTTGGGTACCGGAAAAGGGTGCTCGGAATCATAATTAGGGGAGTTTCCATTTGAATCTCTATCGTCATCGGAATTGGAAGTGGAACAAGAACTTGAGGAAGCAATGCGATCAAGGGACTCGTAAAAACACTCTTCGTCGTCGTTTTCGTCCACGAATTTGTTCATCATTCAAAGGGCATTGCCATCTCAATGGAAAATGCCCCAAAAAACGATCGGATCAGAGATGGGGTTCGCTAAATACCGTCGCTAGTGAAGAACAAACAATGAATCCTTCAAAGGAAATGGGTATTCCCCAATAAGAACAACGAACACAGATACAAAAAGGGGAAGACAGAGGAATTTAAAGGGATCGGAGAAGGAAGAATATGTAAAAGATTTAAGGTTCGTTAATCAGATCCAACAAAAGAGCAAGAGAAAGGAGAAGGGAACGAAGCCCTATGCTGGGGTTGTGCAAAAGAGTTGGATTTTGCGCTGTCTGTGTTTAAATCAAAACCCAGAAACCAACACTCACACAGAGAAAGAGAAACAGAGAACAGAGAGAAAGAGAGAAAGAGAGAGAGAGAGAAGCTTGGATTCTGCCAATGGAGAAATGTGGGATTCAGCAACAAAAAACTGGTCTATGAACAACTGGGTATGTGAAAAAACCCCATAAATTTAGAATTAAAAATCAAGAACATGGAACAGAGTTTAACAATTTTACAGGCAATTAGAATTTTGTTCATTAAAACTAAAAAGGATAATCATAATAGCAATGGAAGAATTCAAGATGTCACTCCCCAACAGTTTTACTGTGTACTAAACCAACCAAGCAAGAGCTTCATTTTTGTTTTCTTTCCAGGCCCGAAAAATAGTTCGTTCACCTCAGTTTGTTCGTTAACATTTTACCTTCAATCCAGACTCTTTGTTAGCAAATTTTCGTTACAATTGTGTTTAAAACATAACGGATAGAATTAAATTCATTCTCCTGTTTATGTTTTAACCTAAATTGTTAACAAAAACATAACCAAACTAGTAGAAACCCTGAAATCGAAAAAACGAATTAGTACAAACGTTGAAATAAAAAATCGAACTATCAGAAACCCTGAAAATGAAAATCGAACTAGTATAAACTCTGAAAGTGAAAATTGAACTAGTACAAACCCTGAAACATAAAATCGAACTAGTATAAACCCTGAAAGTGAAAATTGAACTAGTAGAAACCCTGAAACTGAAAATCGATCTAGTATAAACCTTGAAATAACAAATCGAACTATCAGAAACCCTGAAACAGAAAATTGAATAAAACCCTGAAATCGAAAATTGAACTAGTATAGACTTTGAAACCGAAAATCTAACTAATATAAACCCTAAAATAAAAAAACTGAACTAGCAGAAACTCTGTTATATCAAGCGATGGTCGACTGTATATATATAATAATGAACGTTAACTTAAACCTGGTTCAAATAGTTAAGGCAAATACTTTCGATCCAGAGGTTAAAAGTTTGAAACCGTTCGAGCGTAAATTTAACTTTTAATACATGGAGGGAGGTAAATGGGCTTTTGGAAGCCCAAGAAAGGTAAAGCTGGAAAGGGCACAAATGTACAACTAAATATGGTGAACTAGTTACTGTAATCCCAACCGTCCTCAAGCTGTCCAGCCCATTACTGGTAACTGAAGATGACACCCCAAGGCTTTAACTCCACTTAGGGACCATCTCATCACTCCTTCCCTTCAAAATCAACCAATCTTCTAATTACCAAATCACAATACATCGAAAACAAGAATCGAACTATCGAGAATTTCAAAATTTTTGTTGAGTTTCGACGATCGTTCAATGTAGCAGAAAATCGAACTAGCAGAAACTCTGAAATTGAAGATCGAACTAACAAAAACTCTAAAATCGATAATCGAACTAGTAGAAACCCTAAAATCGAAAACTGAAATAACAAAATCTCTAAAATCGAAAATCAAACTAGTAGAGACCTTAAACCGAAAACCAAACTAATAGAAACCCTAAAATCGAAAATTAAACCAACAGAAAATAAAACTAGTAAAGACCCTGAAATCGAAAATTGAACTAGTAGAAACCCTAAAATTGAAAACTGAACTAACAGAAACTCAAACTAGTAAAGGCCTTGAAATCGAAAATCGAACTAGTAGAAACTCTAAAATCGAAAATTGAACTAACAAAAACTCAAATTAGTAAAGACCCTGAAATCGAAAATCGAACTAGTAAAGACCCTGAAATCGAAAATCGAACTAGTAGAAACCCTAAAATCGAAAATTGAACTAACAGAAAATCAAACTAGTAAAGACCCTGAAATCGAAAATCAAACTAGTAAAGACCCTGAAATCGAAAATCGAACTAGTAGGAACCCTAAAATCGAAAATTGAACTAACAGAAAATCAAACTAGTAAAGGCCCTAAAATCGAAAATCGAACTAGTAGAAACCCTAAAATCGAAAATTGAACTAATAGAAAATCAAACTAGTAAAGGCCCCTGAAATAAAAAATCGAACAAGTAGAGACTCTAAAATCAAAAATTGAACTAACAGAAACTCAAACTAGTAAAGACCCTGAAATCGAAAATCGAACTAACAGAAACTCGAACTAGTAAAGATCCTGAAATCGAAAATTGAACTAGTAGAAACCCTAAAATCGAAAATTGAACTAACAGAATCAAACTAATAAAGACCTTGAAATCGAAAATCGAACTAGTAGCAACCCTAAAATCGAAAATTGAACTAACAGAAAATCAAACTAGTAAAGACCCTAAATAAAAAATCGAACTAGTATAAACCCTAAAATAAAAAATCGAACTATTAGAAACCCTAAAATCGAAAATTGAATTAACAGAAATAAAACTAGTAAAGACCCTGAAATCAAAAATCAAACTAGTAGAACCCTAAAATCAAAAATTGAACTAGTAGAAACCCTAAAACCGAAAATCGAGCTAACAGAAAATTAAACTAGTAAAGACCCTGAAATCGAAAAATCAAACTAGTAGAACCCTAAAATCGAAAATTGAACTAGTAGAAACCCTAAAACCGAAAATCGAGCTAACAGAAAATTAAACTAGTAAAGACCCTGAAATCGTAAATCAAACTAGTAGAACCCTAAAATCGAAAATTGAACTAGTAGAAACCCTAAAACCGAACCCTAAAATCAAAAATTGAACTAGTAGAAACCCTAAAACCGAAAATCAAGCTAACAGAAAATTAAAAGTAAAGACCTTGAAATCGAAAAATCAAACTATAGAACCCTAAAATCGAAAATTGAACTAGTAGAAACCCTAAAACCGAAAATCGAGCTAACAAAAATTTAAACTAGTAAAGACCCTGAAATCGAAAATCAAACTAGTAGAACCCTAAAATCGAAAATTGAACTAGTAGAAACCCTAAAACCGAAAATCGAGTTAACAGAAAATTAAACTATTAAAAACCCTGAAACCGAAAATCGAACTAGATGCAAAAGAAATTGGGATTAGGTTGGGAATTTGAGTATACCAAAAAAAAAAAATGTGTGGGGGTAGTAACATTGTTGTCCATACATAGAACAAAAGTCAAAAGCATTCAATTTGATTGGGTGATGTTTCAATCCCATCACATATTTTTTGTACCTTTTATCAAAAATAACAATTTTCATAGTATTAGTGTTGATGTGGGTTTTGTATATAATAAGGTTTTTTGAGCTTATAATAAAATTTTAGTCTATCTAGGTCTTCATTCGGGTAGTAGTAGAGTATCATTCGTGTTTATAATAGTTTGCGACTCCCAGTTTGATAATCCACCCCCTTTGGAGGCTAACGTCCTTGCCAGCACACTGCTAAATGTCTGGCTCTAATACCATTTGTAACAATCCAAGTTTATCGATAGCAGATATTGTATGTTTTGGCTTGATACGTATCGTCGTTAGTGTCACGGTTGTAAAATGCGTCTACTAAGGAGAGATTTTCACACCCTTGTAAAGAACATTATGTTCCCTTCCTCAACTGATTTGAGATCTCACATCGTCATTGTTCTATTTAATTCAAACACTTGGTTGGAGATACCTCGATTATTCGGTAGTAGACGTAGATAGTTCCCTTCATGCTAGGATTTTTTTAGTTTCTCCTTCTCATATAGTTCTCGGTCCTACCATTCTAGTTCGAGAAAGCTGATAGACCTTTCAAGACAAGTCCTTTCCACTATGACTAACGTCATTAAGTAGTATCATGGGACTTGACTTCCCTACACTCTAGAGCATTATTGGTTTCTCGTGCTTGGGTGTCCTTGCATCGTAGACATTCCATGGTACCTTTGTCTAGTCCAATTCAATTCAGATGAAACATATCAAGACATTCTCTTATAAGTTGACGTATTATTATCTATCATCTTTGATGGTAGCATAACCTCCACGTCAGTGACTAATAAGATATTATTAACCATCAAAAATAACATATCGAAAACCAGTTGAAAAACATACACATGAAGTTGTCTTACCACACTAACACAGAGCACCATTGTTGGTCTGCCTGTTGGTCTAGCGAATCCTCCTAACCGTCGCGTCTTTTAACCGACCCGAACAACATATGAATCCCTACGTATCACGTTCTTAGAGTTCTTGGGATTTGGAAGCACAGAACCCTAGGGTTTCTGGTCTTGTAATGGTGTTTTCTTGATTAGTGTGACTATTTGGTGGAATGGGAGCAGCCTTTTATCCCTTAGCTTTGCTCTCCATAGCTCAAATGAATTGTTCATTCATAGTCTACTTTTTCTCTGTTTTGTAATTACATTCCATGTATCACAAAATTAGGGTTTATAAATTTAGCCACGATTTTAGGTAATTGCTCGGGAAATTCGATCGATCCAATCCAATTCAATCTATATAGGTTACGATTAGGTTATTATGTTATAAGTAAAAATCCGTATGAATTAGGTCAATTCGTACGTCCATTAAAATTAGTTTAAGTTGAATGGAATGAAACATGAATTTATTCTCAAACCGCCCTTAAAAATAAAATTTTAATTATCTTAAATGTAATTAAAAAAAATATATGTTGAAATTTTCAAACCATTCCAACCCAAATATTTTATGAGCGGATTGAGTTCAATTCATTATTTAATAAGAGCTTAATTGATTTCAAACCGGTCGCTTTGGCCACTCAAGCACATAACATTTGTTAAAAAGTATTATTTTTAATTTAAGGGTCAAATCGTCAATTCGAGTCTTTTATGGAGATTAAAGGGTTCCCTGGCCACAAATGTATAAATACCACAATATGTTATGTAAAAATCAGATTGGTGAATGAATAAAATTGAGATCTCGAATGGAGACGTTTTTCTTAATCTAAGCATCAATTTTGCCATTTTTAAGTTTCAAGTAATTATTGTGGTAGAAGTACATCTGAGCCATTCAATCAAGATAAGTTAAGTTGTGGAGTGACTCAATTTATAACAACGTTATAAATCTTGTTTCTATCATTATCTCTTGGTTCATCCAAATTTTATATAAAATGTGTTGTTCTTGCTAAAACAAAAGCTTGGATGGATCGTTGGGCTGAAGAGATTAGGGTTGCCTTGTTATATAGTTTTAAACCTAAGTATTTTTTTGGTAACGTTTATATAATTTCATCTAATATACTTTTGATTTGAATTAATTTTTGGCGCAATATTTAGAAATATTAATCAATGGTTTAAATAAAATAATTCTATTGACATTTGCGTTAGGATGCTTTTTAATTATCTAATATAATTAATTAAAAAATTAAGGTTAATAATTAAATTTTTTATTTAAATATATTTCCAGATAAAAAAAAACCATTTAATATAAAACCCTCGTGCCTTGATTCCTTACAGCCTGTAATTAGCATTAAAATATGAGGATAAAAAATTTACTTTATTATTATTATTATTATTATTAGGTCAAGTCAAGCTTTCCATTTTCTATTTTTTATTTTCAATATTTTCTTTTTAGACTTTTTCGGATTTTCTGTTCAAAATATATTTTTGTTTTGTTTTTTAGTGAATTTAATCTAATTCAAATATTAATAAACGAGTTCGAAGACACAATAATTAGAGATAAATAATGACATTATTTGTCTATAAAATTTAGAATTAATATTTAAAAATAATTAAAAAAAATTACTCATAAATATTTATAATTAATTAATACGTTAAAAAGAAGTCGACTCAACCATAATTTAGTGGATAAAAATATTAATTATCATTTTAAATGTTGAATATTTATCTATAATTATTTAAATAAAATATAAATAAATTAAATATATATTTTGTGTTCATGACACCTTGCATTAAAAAATGTTTTAAAAAGTCAAAGGATAGTTGTTTAGCAATATATTCCGAAGCAAATGCCAAAATCCTTGACGACGAATGATTTCATTTTTTATATTTATGAGTGTTCGAGTTAGCATGAACGTACTTCAACTTTCTAATGGAATAATCATACGACGCATACGAAAGTTATTAAAATAGAAAAAAGCAATAGCCTTGGTCTAAACCCGTTCGTCTAAGTCGCTTATTGTTTACAATCTCTAAACCTATGATATGGTATGAAACATTCCCTACTTATAAAGTTGTAGACATCTCTCCCTAGTAGACATGTTTTAAAATCATGAGATTGACGGTCATACGTAATAGGTCAAAGCAGACAATATTTGCTATTAGTGAGTTGGCATAAGAGCTAGACACTGAGCAGTGTACCAGCGAGGACGCTAGGTCCCAAAGAGGATGGATTGGGAGATCCTACATCGATTGAAGAGGGGAACAAAGTATTTGGGTGTGGAAACCTCTCCCTAGTCCCTAGTAGACGCGTTTTAAAACCGTAAAACTGACGACGATACATGACGGGCCAAAGCGAACAATACCTACTAACGGTGAGTTTAGATTGTTACCTACTAGCGTCGATTTAGATGATGTTAATGAATGAGAAGGAAGCAAAAAGGGAACTCACAGCTTGGGTGATGTTCATAGAATTGACTTTGCTAAATTCACAGCAGAGAAAGTTCGTCGGCCAGCTTCCTGCCTCATTGTACTGAGACAATGCATCTTGTTCTCAACATCAGTCTCTTGTCCAAATTCAAAGAGCAAGAATCTGTCTCAGAGCCGCCCAAACCAATCATTTTCCAAAGCCCCATGATCTTAGGCTCTCTTTATAGCTACCCCCCAAATGGTTACATTTCACAGTGCCTCATCACCTGCCCAAGAAAACTACTGTTTATTTGCAGACCAAGTTGTAAGTAAATGCAGGAACTAAACTAAAGATCGACCTGGCGATCAACTTGCAACGACATGACTATGATTAAGATTAAGTCTGTCTGAAAGAATTACATTCAATCAAACATCTTGATTTTTCAGCTAATGTTCTAACATTATTTCTACTTGAAATACACTTTTGAAACAAAAATGTAAAGTTTTAGGGGTATGTTTTGTAACTTAGAAAAGAAAATTTTGGTTCAGGCATTTTGTCAAACATGTGGTGTGCACACCCGCTACGGCCACAAGCAACCGTGTGGGAGAAACACGTTATTCGATTCAAAGCTGTCTAAATGTGCCCCTGCATTGTGTTCTTCAAGTTTTAAGCCAACCCCATTGAGCTGGCTTCAAATTCAAACACTCCCACAAGGACTTTCAGCAGACAGACCTAAAAAGAAAAGGGCTTTAATTAAACAAGCATCACCTGCGTCCATGAATGGCCGGAACAATCAGCAATTATGTCGACAGTTGTGTTGATGGGAGGGGGATGTTTTGGCCATTAAATTTAAATACTTTGTATCCCGACGATGCTTGTTTAAGGCGTGTTGTCTATGGCCGCATGTCGGATGTCCTGATCATGTTTGTCCAAAACATGTTGTCCATGGCCATATGCCTCTTCCAAACCTCTTTTACATGTTTTCATCTTATATAGACTTTTACTACTTCATGTTGTGTCAATACGGGAGCGTATGACTGTTCATCAAAATCATATCTACACCCACTAAGGCTAAAATGCCTCAAGATATACTAGTCGTCACTTCTTCCTATTCGGGTTATATGCTATCAAAACCGTTATTGTTGCCTAATTACTTTTAGCATATAACATTATTTTCAACGTATTTCCTCAATCACGTTTTCCAAAACATTCCTCTCAAACGTAAATCGAGATTCGAGCATACGCCGATGCCATCTGCAAAGTCCAAATTTCTCATGGTTGACGTGTTCGCTGGATTAGAACAAATGCCACGCAATCGTGCAAAAGTAAGATTGTGACACTAGACAAGCCGAAGAGTATATGAATTCATTGCCACTGAGGTCTCACAAAAGATACAAATATTTATAGGAAGACAACCAATGTTTCTCTTATTGTCAATACAAATGTAACAATCCACCAAAAAGACAAGAAAAGCGCAGCAGCAATGGTTAAAATGGAGAGAAAACAAAGAACTTCACAGACTAAAAATTCTGATACTGATAATTCTTCCTAAACTAAAACCAGTAGTTGATATGCAAAACTATCTCGATATCGAACCGGGAGCATCAATCCTATTAGATTTGATTATACGTACACTCATTTGTAGGTTCCCATGCCAACGCCCGTTTCTCCGCCGTAGGGAAGGAAGCTTTCCCTCGCCTTCGAGTAGAACACATAGTAGAGTTCTGATACAATGGCATTAAGGAAAATGAAGGCTGCACCTGCACCGAAAACTCCCTTCCTCAAAGTTTGGCACGACGGAGGATTGTCACCAAACATGGTTCGGTACTTGGTGTGGTAGGCGTTCCTTATCGAGCCCGCGAACAAGCAAACCTCAGCAATGAAGAAAAACACCCTGCAAGATTGTGTGTATTGGATTGGACCCTTTAGTTTGAACTTATGGAGTGAAGCTCACAAATAGGTTCACTTACCAGCAGATTATGAATAGGATAATAGCCCATGCCCTCGAACCTCCAGGACTTAACGACTTCCCGCAACAAAAACATCGGCTAGCTACCATTATGAGGGCCTGGCTAGCCATGAGAAGTAGAAAAGCACCGACGCCATAGCCTGTCGAGATGTCGGAGTCATACACACAATAGTTGTAATTCTTTTCACTATCTGGTACAACGTTGGCCTGTTATCAAACGATAAATACACGATACATTATGAGCGGAAATGCATCAAATCCTATGCTAGTATATCATATAGACATTAGAAATCAGCTGAAACCAACTCGTCGATCTTCGAAGTAACGAAGAAACCAAAAGAGTACAGAACGAAACCAGTTATTGAGTATGCGTTGGATACAACTTATTAGTAAGATTAGATTCATAGCAATATGAATGAATGAGTGAGTGATGGTGGAAACACATGAGAACAGTTACCTTAATTTTACCATTGTCTAGATCGAAAGTAAACGCCCGACCATTTTGAAGTAACGTGCTTAGTAGTCAGAAACAAAGAAATATACGGAAGTCTCCTTTGTTCCACATCGGCTAATTAAGGAGTTGATCGTGGGTTTATAAGTCAGAAATACATCTACATTGGTATGAGGCCTTTTGGGGAAATCAAAAGCAAAGCCATAAGAGCTTATGCTCAAAGTAGACAATATCATATCATTGTGGAATCCTCTTAGGCATGTCAATGGAATCAGAGTTATACCCTTAACTTAGGCATGTCAATGGAATCCTCAAATAACGAACAAAGAAGTTGTGAACCTCGAAGGTGTAGTCAAAAGTGACTCAAGTGTCGAGCAAAGAGTGTACTTTGTTCGAGGACTATAGAAAAGGAGTCGAGCCTCGATTAAGGGGAGACTGTTCGAGGGCTCCATAGGCATCAGGGGAGGCTCTATGGTGTGCTTTGTTCGAGAGGAGGATTGTTGGGAGAGGAATCCCACATCGGCTAATTAAGGAGTTGATCATGGGTTTTATAAGTAAGAAATACATCTACATTGGTATGAGACCTTTTAGGGAAACCAAAAGTAAAGCCATAAGAGCTTAGGCTCAAAATGGACAATATCATACCATTGTGGAGAGTCATGATTCCTAACATGGTATTAGAGTCATACCCTTAACTTAGTCATGTCAATAGAATCCTCAAATATCGAACAAAGAAGTTGTGAGCCTCGAAGTTCAAAAGTGACTCAAGTATCGAGCAAAGGGTGTACTTTTTCAAGAGCTCCAGAGAAGGAGTCGAGCTTCGATTCAAGGGAGGCTGTTCGAGGGCTCCATAGGCCTCAGGGAATGCTCTATGATGTGCTTTGTTCGAGGGGAGGATTGTCAGGAGAGGAGTCCCGCATCGGTTAATTAAGGGGTTGATCATGGGTTTATAAGTAAGGAATACATCTCCACGAGAGCTTAGACTCAAAATGGACAATGTCATACCATTGTGGAGAGTCATGATTCCTAACAGCCTACTACTTCAGTTCAGAACAGCTCAGAATTGCATTTTAGAAAAGCCAAGTATAGTCACTATTGTTAGTATGCTCTAAATCATGAACATGTCAACAATTTTCAAACCAAGAACAACTTAATCCATTATCCATTTTCCTGCTTTTTAACAACTAAAGCCCTAATTTATGAACCCTAATGGATGTGTTAGACGAACACGACTCTCCACAATGGTATGATATTGTCCACTTTGAGCATAAGCTCTCATGGCTTTGCTTTGGGATTCCCCAAAAGGCCTCATTCCAATGGATTTAGTATTCCTCACTTATAAACCCATGATCACACCCTAAATTAGTCGATGTGGGACTTCCATCATCCAACAGGATGAACTGATACCACAAATTTCAAGCAGAAAAGCCAATAAATCGTTGTTTGGTGACCAAGAACAACCCAGAAAAGGAAAGATTCTTGGTTCATCCATTCTCGATTTCACAATGCCGATTTCATCAACTCCAAAACGACCCACAAACAGAATCACAGAAACCAAACAGACCCAGAAATCAAAGAACCCCAAACCGACAAAAATTGCAGTAAAAAGCACAAAAGAAAGCGACAATGAATGGAAGAGATGGAGAGAGGGACTGAAGCTTACAGTGCTTCTTCTTTGCTCAGCGGCAACGGCCAGGCCAAAAGCAATAACATCGAGTACAATAACTATAATCAGAACCAATTTGGACGCCATTGATGGACAAAATACACTGGTTCAGAGCTTTTTTGATCTGCCCTGATATTTGTTTCTACTCAATTCTTGAGCAGATTCAGTAATGTTTCACTGTCTCTCTGTGTCTCTTCTTGTTGGGGTTTATAAGAGGGACAGAGAAACAAGCTTTGCTCTGATGAAAACAGAGTGAAAAAGAAAAAAAATTAGAAAGAGAAAATAACGTCTCAACATCTTGCCAGTAGCTTGCACAAATCCCCATTATACCCATCTGTCTGAATTTCTGATAATTTAAAAAAATAAATTCTTTTCTTAAAAAAAAAAAAAAAAAAAAAA